GCTGAGTTAATTTGTGCAGGCCGTCTCAATAAATCCTGTTAAATCAATTTTGTCTCCTTTGAACAGGCTGTATCAATAAGCCCTGTTAAATCGTCTTTATTCTTGTTGTTTTGGACAGGCCATTTCAATAAGTTGTGAATATAATTGATCATTATCAAATAAACAAAGATTTTATTATAACGATTTGAGTCTTGTTGCAAAAGCAATTCTACCCTTTTCCCCTTTTTAAATACCCACCCATCGTTGAGTAAAGGTCGATTGCGAACAAGTCGCCACAGGAAGCCTTTAGAACACCCAGCGAAACCCTCTGACCGTAAATAATTCAATCTAGCTCTCACCCCGTTGCGGAAAATCCTTTGGTTGATTGATTGTTGTAATAGACACAACAGTCTGTTGCCCCCATCCGTCACAAATAAACCCTTTTAAGTAAATATCCAAGGGAATGCAGCAACGTAATCTGTCATTTACCAATAAATTAAAGAACCTTTATCGTTATCGTTGTCGTTATAAGACTTCCATTCGTGTGTGTAATCAATTCTTTATTAAGCTGCTTTTATTGTTCAATACAGTCGTTCCTCGTTGTTATCAACCTCTTGGGACTGGACTATTTCTTGACATATACGAGGATTGAAATCAACGGGGATTGTTACATAAAAGTTTTTTTAATTAAGGTGAAATATGTTCCATGACCGGTTTTTCTAACAATGAGGTGTTGATACCAACGGGGTTGATAATAGCGGGGGACGACTGTATCGATACCATAAAACGTACATCGACAGAGTTATTTTTGCGTGTAAATAATAAAAGGCTCTTCTTTTAACAACGACGACGACATCGATTTTAGATCATTCCAATAGAGCCGATTATTATTTTGTGTATTTGATGTATATCGTTATCGTTCCATTACTTCCATTTGTGAATCAATGCTGTGTTACACAGTTTTTACGCATTTGATGTATTAAGAGTCTTTATTATTTCAAAAGTGCACCAATAAATTAGGATGACAATTCTCTTTAACAGACAATAACGATAATATAACAAATAATACATAGAATCTTAATAAACATAGCAAGTAAACGACGAAAATATAAAGTTTGTAATTGCTAGAATCAAGAGTAACAAAAATGACATTATCGTGTGTGCAAGACCCTTTTATACTCTGAATACACATAAATAAGTAAATTGTAACTTTCATATTAATAAAATAAACAAATTTAATAAAAATATAAATATATCTGTAAATACAAAGAATTTGATAACTAATAGGAACTGCTTTCCGTTAACGTTAATGTTGATTCCATGATTGCCATCCGAATTTCTAATGCTTTAGACTCTTAAATTATAACAAGAATAAAATTTTAAATGTAAAGTATTTGCCATTTTCTTTAAACAAAATAATGAACAACGCTGCTCTTTGTTAAAGTATTTCATTGTGAATTTGTAACTTTTTTGTAAGCACTCGATATATCTTCATTCTCGTAATAATTACTTTGAACTCATAATATTTATTATAATTATGAGTATTTGAGCCTTGAAATTTAGAACATTTTCAGAAACATATTAGTGAGTTATTCTAAATACATGTAATTTTCGTTACATAGAATTTTCGATTATGTTTCAATTAAACTAAATGAACACATCCAAAAGATTCAATAACATGCGCACACAAAACATTAAATTGAAATAGAGAAACAGAATGCGAATAAAAAAATCACCACTAAAAAATAGGAAGAATAAAAAGAAGGAATTAAAATGGGATAATCATTGCCACACAAAAAGAGAATCCAAAAAAAAAGAATGATAAAAAATAGCTATTTACTTTTTTTTGGAATCTATCACAAATTCACTACCAATAAATTGAGCGCTGCAACCTTGATGCTAAGTCCTTTTGATTCAAGTCAATCAAGATATTGAATGTGCTTTAACGAATTGTATTTGAAAAAAAGAATAAAACTGAAATACATTTCTATAATAAAGTCAAATTTGTAAAATTTCAATAAATACTCAAATTAGCTTAGTGTTAGATAGACAAATAAAAATAACCCAATTCCAACTCCAACCTCAAAACCAACCTCTCAATCATCCCAATTCAATCCAAACTCTAACACTGAATCCTTTAATCAATTCAATCTGAAATATTAGTTATCTAATCCGAGAAGAATTTTAATTTACACAGAGAGAAACGCTAAAAGCCATTTACAAAAAATCTAGTAGTGCAAATAAAGCTCTGTTCGGGTCGGGTCGGATCGGATTTGAGGTCAACCCGAACCGGTAATTTCGGGTCGGATCGGGTTTGATTCGAAAATCGTAAAATAGTTTTTCGTTAATAACTTTTATTTTTACTAAGACCATTGTATTTTGTGTCTAAGTAGAGTTGTTGGGAATGTAATTGTGTATATGCCCACAAATTTTTAGGCTGACCCAAATTATTTCGGGTCGGGTCACGGATTGGACCTGACCCGGTTGGAGCACTAAGTGCAAATTAATTTGCACATCCAAAATTAGATCAATATTTAGAAAATATTCTTCTTTATTTTCTATAAAAATATTTGAAGTAAGTAAAAGTATAAGATTTTTTATATTAATTAATTAATTATATGAACAAAACACCTAATAGTAAAATCTAAACAACAATAAAATAATTTAATACAAAATCAAATAAGACTTATTTAAAATAAAAATCTTTTACTATTTGCACACAAGCTTTAAAGTAAATCAATAAAAACTTTGTTAACAAGTAAGTATAATTTACAAGTTGGTACTTTTAGTGATTAGAGCATGAGCTTTTCCACTTGTGTAAGCATCTTCTTATATACAAATCAAATGCTATACTAATTACATAATGACATATATTAAATTTATATTAAATGGACATAATTACCAAGTGTTAATTGGTGTAAATATTAATTTGATGTCAAATTAAACAAGATAATAATTAATGTTTTACAAAGTATCAATTTGAGGTTAATTAAAATAAATATTAATTACCTTGTTTTAGAGCTTGAAATAAAGAGAACTCAATTCAAATAATTATTATAGGCTGTATAAAAAAATAGCAGCATCAATTCGCAAAATACTAAAATATAAATATAATGTAAAAATTAACCTATTTTGATCTTGGTCTTTGTATAAATCATGATATAATATTACAAGTGAAACTTTTTTACACAAAATAAAACTTATTATGCATGAAATAAATCTTCTTATATGCGAATTAACACACTAAGAAAATTGTTAACAAATATTTGTTGGTATACATATACTTTGTTATTGCATGTCGTATTTAGATTATGTGTCTGACAGATGACAAGATTTTCCTTAACTATTATCACTAGGCCAACCAATAAGGATGCGTAAATTTTTGACCAAACAAATCCGACACAGAAAAAATGAAAAATGCGATAAATGTGGTGTATGGAAACAGATGTCAAAATCTCACTTGAAGCACATAAAATATCGAAGAAAATTTTTACCAAAGATCAGGTGTAACATAATACGTAAATCACAAGATCATGTCATGTATAACACACAAAATTAAAAAAAATGAAAATTGCAAATAATTCAACTAACTCCAAATTTTGCTGTGACAACTAGCTTTCAACCTTTAAGTAAAAATGCTCAGTACAAAATTTAGAGATAGGTTAGTATTTTAAGTGCTAGCACTTATCTAGTAAAATTTCTAATAAAATTGTGAATTAGTAAACGGAAAATGAGGGTGATCACTATGTACGTATGGGATTTATGTGCAACGTTAAAATAAAATATGTACGTATGTACATGTATCGGTATATCGATATGGGCAATCAAACCACTGTATGAGTTGCACGGCAATTTCCTTACATGTACATGTATATGGTACATGTAATTAAATCACAGATTCCTAAATCACAGTTACGTATATGAGTTGTATGGCAATTTCTTTTACAGTTATTTCCTAAATCACAAAGTTATATGAGTTGTATGATTATTTCCTAAATCACACAGTTGTATGAATTGTATGATAATTTCCTTAATCGAAAAGTGGTTGGTTAAAAAATCAATAAAAAAGAAAAAATTCTCATGAAATCATATTCTCAATTACATCTATTGACAAACCGTATACTGCAATATGTGTGAGAACAATTACATGTATAATGCTGCTGCTATACGTATTATGAATATTGAGTGCGACCCTGGATTGCCCTATCTTTAAGAGAGTTATTCAAAGTGCAATTAAAAATTGTTTTAGGCAACATTTTACTATCAGCATTAATTAAGTCATCAATTGTTAATATTATTATTTAGTTGAATATTTTCCAAAACGTTCATTGCAATACCAAGCCACCAAAAAATGTAAATTCTATTGAAATAAGTAGATGTATTTTAAAACTATGAAAATTTATTTTAAATTAAAAAAGAGTCAATACATGTATTATTATGCCTAATTTTGGGACGTAGTAATAATCAGATAATTTTAAGTTTTTAAGCCCGACGTCTCAAAATCGGGCATAATACATGTATATTAATTTTATTCATAATTTAAAAGTCAATAGTTTTATTCTACGCTAAGTTTTATATGGAACATAAAAACCAAAAACGTCGGGTATATGGTAACGGTAATTAAATCACAATTGTATGAATTGTACAGTAATTTCCCTAATCCAACAATTATATCTAATTTCCCTAATTTACAATCATATGTATCAATATGCTAATTAACTCACAGTTGTCGTTGTATGATCACAGCCATATGACGTATGAGTTGTATGGGAATTTACTAAATTGATAAGTTTATGATAATTTCCTAAATCACAGTTGTATGAGTTGTATAGTAATTGCCCTAAACGAAAATTGTTTGATTAAATAAATCACTAAAAAGAAATTAATTCTCGTGATTGAAATTTACATGACGCAACCTTTAAAGATTAGTCAATTCCAATATAAAAGGAGCTCCTTCCCTCACTCTCAAATAATTCAACAAGCTAAGGATCTATATCATTGAAAGCTAATTGCGAAGCAAGATGAAGCTCCAATCTATTGTTACGTTTATGACCGCCAGTTTGGCTTCTGTAATTTACACTCAAGCGTGCTTTGTTTGTAAGATCATATACATTCGATTAATTTGTTAATCCTGTATATAAAACTTTTCGTACTATTATCACTTTTGTTTTCTTTTAGTTACCAAGGGTAGCTATGTACATACACTTGGTGCTCCGGGAGGTGGGTGTTTTGGTACCGATCCGGGTGACATTATAACTGAATCTTCTACCGACCCTCCTAAAGGTGTTCTCTACACTTTTTATTCTGATTTCAACTGCCAAGGAGCACTTTTTAGTGGTACAGGCTCCAATAAGTTTGATCCAGGCCTAAAAATCTCATCAGTCAGAATAACATGCCCTGACGGGACATAATAGCCCAGCAACAACTGTAAATCAATAGTTAAAATTATGTAACAATTTCTTAATAGTTAAACTTACAATAAAAGTACGTATATGATTGAATATACTATACAATAAAACCTTCTAACTCTAGACAAAGTCGAGTCGAGTAAGAAAGCGTAAACTTTATCATTTTCAGTTACGTGGGTTAAACAAACGGTAAATATCAAAAAACAAAAAACCCTATAAGAAAAATTGCATGTAATATCTGTGAATGACACATAAAAAGTCACTTTTTATGTGTTTTACAGGCATATAAATACGTAGTTCGCGTATGTAAAAGGTAATAAAAGCCTGTAAAACACACCGTTTAACTCGAAACTCAAAATTTTTCGGAAACCTTAAAATGAAAAATTTGATTAAATAATATTTTTGAATTCTTGGGTTCCACTCATTCAATTAAGCTCAAAAGCTTGAATATCCATGAAATAGTCCACGAGATATCCCGATTTTAAGACATTTACCAAAAAATCATTTCACTAAAATCACATTTTTAAGTGTTCTGAATCGGAATATTTTGTGCTTATTTGAATGAGCAGAACCCTAAGAATTCAAAAAAAATATTGTTTATTGCGTGATGTTTGCAAAAAACTATTTTCATTTTAAATGTGTCTTGAGTTTTCTATTTTCGAGTGTGTGTCTTTTACAGACCTATCAGACTTATTTGTGTATTTATGTATTCTTTACAGACATATATTGTTATAGGGAAGGTAACAACCAACAATAATATGCATCAACAAGTAATTTATAAATTAATTGAAGCTTTTTTTGCAGTTAATATAGAAAAATTGACAAGAGCACTGAGTTGCTTAGAGTTATTTTAATAGTATAAAATCTTTGAAATCAATTAGGGGAGTGACATATATTACATAATATCGAGTTACTACCCCTCCCCCCAGGTGAGATTTTTATTATATTTTAATCGGCTAATTATTTTTGATCACGTGGAAGGTGAGATTTTTGAGACTCACCCTGATAATTACGTAATATATGTCACTCCCCTTAGCATAATTCAATTAAAAAACAATCAGACAATGTAATAACCGGAATTTATATATCTGTACTGTAGTGGTAATTACAAATCTAATTGACAGAATAGAATCTAAATGTTCAGTTAAATAAATATTGATATTACTTGGCTTTTTTTTTGCCAAGCAAAACAGAATTGGATAATTGGTTAATTTCAGGTATTCGAGAATTTTTGTGCATTTTCTATATTTTCGTGTCTGATAAAATTTTCTTACGCATATCGATACACTCAAAATTGTATCAAAGAAATTAACACGACTAAAAGAAAATGTTTAAAACAGGTTTAAAAAGAATTCTAGAATTACTGATTGAGTGTGAAATGATAACGATAATAATATTATATAGGCATATAATTAAGGTCTCGACGAGACAGTTAATGTTAATACATATCACTCAATCTGAATAAATATCAAAAGAATAGAAAGTACCCTCGATTAAAGATGGTGTGGCAACTGTTGCAACATGGTGACAAATAAAGTATCACCTAGTTGCAACAGTTGCGGCTTATAAAATTTTGGAGTTGCAACGTGTTGCAACAGGTGATAAATAAGCGTCACGTACTTGCTGCGCCATCTCTACCCTCGATTATTATTTCATCGCAAAATCTTTGAAGACAAACTTCTCTATACTCGCTATGAAATATTTTCTCTCCACCATCATTGAGATCTCTACATTACTCGTGCAAGTCATTGAATATAAAGTTTAAATGTGTGATAGCACAATACTCAATACATTGTTATTCCTGTTCTATTTCTTGAGAAAATGAATATTCAGGTGGCCATTCCTGTTCTATTTCTTGAGAAAATGAATATTCAGGTGGCCATAATGTACATATCGTTGGGTACTGTCGATAACGGTTGCATATATGGATATACTAGCGAAGTGAAGCAATATTTTATTGATAGTTTATAGGTGTGGACGCAGAAATCGACATTCACACAACGTTCGATATTGAATTCGACGTTCCTGACGCCCACAAATGACAAATATCGTAAATAATCAGAATTATTGTTTAAATTATGGGTGGGTGCTTGCTAATTTGTAAATTGTCGTAAAAATACAAAGAACCAACCACCAGCTACAGTCCAACATATGAATTTTACTAATTTTAAATTTAGTTTGCTCTATCTAGAAGCGATCCGGTTCTTGAGTATTTTCTAACCAAACCGAAAAACGGTTTTAGTTCAAAAATAAATAATAAAATTACAGTCCGCATGGAAAGTACTTTGACTCTCAATTTTAATATAATGCTTTCTTTGATATAACTTTGATTAGAATTGTTTTTGTTTATTTTACTGATAATCAGAGTACAAAATGGTTTGCCATTTGATTATTTAATTAAAGATTTGTTTATAATAGTATTTTTAAATATTCACAATTTATTAATTTCCAAAAAATTCACTATGACAGTATTTTAGGAATCAAATCCAAATAAGAACGCAAACCTGCTATTTGTCTTTGGTATTTACCAGCGTCTGGTTTAGTTTATATTCGCCAAGTAGTTTGCCTACTTCTTTGGTTTTAACTTTGCATTGAATCGGTTGCGGGTTCCTTGATCAGCCATTGACTGAAGGCAGATGTACGTGACAAAATAATAATATACGTGATGATGATGATGATGATGATGATGATGATGATGATGATGATGATGATGATGATGGTGATGATGATGATAATAATAACAATTCAAGAATTTGAATACGTTAACACAACAGCTACAGCTATAGGAATTCTGTTATTAAATTGCTTTAAATAATAGCATACAACAAGGAGTCTTCTTTTTATTTAAATGTACTGTATTTGCTGTACGGACAAATTTAATAATGCTATTAATGCAAAAATGAAAATTTATTGTATTAAAGATAACATAATGAATTAGAAAGTTATTTGAGAAACATGACCTTTAACGAATGCAGTCTGATTACGCAAAAAGTGGGCACTTATGTACGTATGAACCTGTTTAATTTATTGTTATTCCACATAGAAACACAGAATTTGAAAGATAAATAACGTTGTACATGTATTTTTAATCTTGTGAAATGATACAGAAATTATTTCACACGAGTATTTGAACTATTTTGGTAATATCATAGTAAATGTTAAATATATTAGAACCTTCTACATATTATTAAGCATTACGCTCTTCTATATGAAAAAGGCAATTTATAAATGAGAAAACGTAGTTAATTGAAATCTTTTGGAACCATTGCACACGAAACTTTGGACTTAACCATAGTTTATTGTTCTATAATGAATGTAAAAGGCGCAAAAATAGTATGTAATTTACTTTGTACAAAGAAAAAAAGCAACTTCAATAAGAGAAGAGATTTCTGCCAAGAAAGTACTTAGTGTGATACAATATCCAGTTTAAACAACTAGCACAACATCTATAAATTTAAAAAGTCACACATATGCATTGTTCCCCATTATTATCATTTTTCCATTATCTATCTATGCACCTTAATTCACACAATGTTATTTAACGAAAACGAAAATGGTCCAGCATGTCAAGAAAATTGTCCAGAATGTCAAAAAAAATGGAATATTTACCATCAATTTTGTCCCACTTGTGAGTTCTATTCATGGACAAGTGGTAATAACAAAATTGATGAAATTATCAAAGGTGCACAACTTGAATTCAATGATTTCTATACTTTACTTGAGTGGATTGCTTATGATGAATTTCGTGAAGTAGAATATATTTCTGAAGGAGGTTTTGGCAATATATCAAGAGCAATCTGGAAATCGGGATATGTACATGGTTTCAATAAAAAACTGATTAGAGCAGGACCAAGGCCGGTTGCATTGAAGACTATATTCAATTCAAGTAAAAATTTTGATATAATTCAAGAGGTGAGTAAATTTTGATTTTAAAAATTTTTTAAAGTCAAAACAAAAAATTAAAAGAAATTAATTCAAATCTAGATAGAATCGGCAGTTCTCAATAGACATAGCGTTTATCTTGTTGGAATATTTGGAATTTCCAAAAATCCAGTAACTGGAAGCTATATTTTAGTCCTTCCTTTTTATGAGCGTGGATCATTATATGATCTAATCAAAAACCAGAATAAATTACCACGTTTGACCGATCATTTACATTCTTTAGCTTTAGGATTACAAAATTTACATCAAAATGAATATGTTCATTGTGATTTACATAGTGGTAATGTTTTAAGCGAGCGCGATTTTTGTTATATAACAGATTTTGGAAGATGCAAACACATATCAAAGATCAAAGCTGATGAAGAATTATTTGGTATAATTCCATACGTAGCACCTGAGGTCTTACGAGCGAGAAAATACACAACAGCTAGCGATGTTTATTCCTTTGGAATGATTTTGTGGGAATTTTGGAGTGGAGAACGTCCATTTGCTCACCGTAAGCACGATGTCGCACTCATCTTTGATATTTGCGATGGAAATCGACCAGAAATACCTGAAGATATGCCATATAATTATCAAGTGCTAATGACTCGTTGTTGGGATTCGGATTCATCGAAACGACCAACAGCAGAAGAGATTATTGATATGATTGAAAGATGGTTTGGGTTCGATCTTCAAAATAAATTTGAAAAAAGTATAGAAAATAGAAAATCAAAAAAAAAATTGGAAATTCACGAAGGCGCGGTATACCAAAGTAGATCGATCACGAAACTTATGGAAGCGGAGGATGGTATTTATCGTTTTTTATTTTTATTTATTACCGTTACGTGTATTTATTATTACATGTACATGTACTAACTCATGCTTTTAGACACTTACGTTACACGACAATTAGATTTGTTACCAATGTAAAATTACCGTTACTCTATTGTATTAATATTTGTTTTTTTTAGCTAAATAGATCTATACACTTTATAAATCTATTTTTATTTTGTATCATAAGAATTTTGTATCGCGGTTTTTTGTTGTACACAGTGCGTTGTTCATGTTGGACTGTTTTC